AATTTGGTTGGATAATCCCACAGAAGTAAGTTATGTCGTTTACCAATTGAACTTTAAGTATTTTCATTGTAGCTCTCTTCTACGCAATTTTTATGAATCTTTCGTAATTTCTTGCGTATCACGTAATTACTTTTTTTTAGATCGAATGAAGACTTGCAGTCCAGCCAATTGATGAGGGTGAAGCATTTTCCACGAAGCAATCTCTGCTACCAAATTCAACTTTCTGCGCTAGTGGACAAAAAAGTAACTACGTGATACGCAAGAAATTTCGAAAGATTCCTAACATTTGCGTGGAAGAGACCTAAAATGAAAATACTTAAAGTTCAATTGGTAAACGACATAACTTACTTCTGTGGCATTATCCAGCCAAACTGTTTCCCGATCAAAGAAAAACAAGCGGTTCAGTGAGCAATTCAACAGGTAAGCGAGGAAAACGTACTTATAAACCGAATGCGGGGTCAAAACTATTTTACGCATGGATCAAAGGATAATTATTTGACTTAAACGGTTATGCCTTAAACTATTAATCGCAAATCAATAATAAGTCAAATGTCCATCAATGTGTTAACTCTAATATTTAGTTCAATATTCAACGTAAGTTGTCAAATAACCAAGCAAATTATTTCTCACGCAATGTCTGATAAAAAGCCAGTTGCAAATTCGTTAAGAATCGCAAACTTAGATTTCATTACTCTTGTCACGAGTCTTAGTCCATGAAATATCCGACGAGTGCTGACAAACTTCAATTATTTTTTGATCGCCTCTATATATCAAACAAATTGATTCTGGAATTTAACTCCAGGTATTACTTAGTGTTCGGAAACAGAAGAAAGACAAAATAAAGCATCTCCCCGTCTTCCGCGTGACAGGCGGGGACACTCACCACTATACTATCGAGGAATTCGATATTTTAAGAAACTTTTAAAAATTTTAAAAAATTCGGTAGTTTAAAAATAGTTAACTATAAATATTTAAGTTACTGAGTGTGTGTGTTTAGTTTTTGGTGCGTGTGTGTTAATTTTTGTTTGAGGTGGGGTTCGATTCCCCAGCGAAGTTGGCGACTGGTGTCCCTCGTTTCTGGCGGTCGCAACCCTAAGGCCTTGCACTTTAGCCATGGGTTGGATCAGACGTGTGTTCGGCAGGCATTGCACCACCCTCAAGGGAGCCTGGCCGTCCGCCTTAAACACAAAAAAACTCCCAAGGAATTCGATACTCGATAGGGGAAATCTGAATGAGTCGAGAGTAAATAATATTTTATTAACAGACGTTTTTTTAGTTCTTTTTGTTTTCAAGACTCACCCGATTCAGTAAAGAAGGTGCCTTCAGTGGGTAATAAATCAATGTAGGTTTTCTTGTTAGCCTGTGTATGTTGGNCGTTAAGTTTTAGAAGATTTTTCCAAAAGTAAAACCAACCGGGCCTGTCCGGGAGTCAAACCAGGGACCTCTGGCACCCATAGCGAGAATCGTACCATTAGACCAACAGGCCGCACATAACTATGACAGACGAGAAGAGGGAATTTATCGTTGTCATAAAACCAGGTGGCAAATCACCTGTGCCACGACTTATCATGGAGAGACTAGCGTTATTGGCCCACTGATCAGAGTTGCACTACGGAGCATTTTGCAAGTCTCAGGGACAACTTCTTTAACTTAGGGTCCTTGGATATAAAAGGAGTGTACGGTAAGACAATACAAGTTGTTAGTCTGACGAAAAGTCAAAGATGATCACTGAAAATACCATAATAGCCATTTAAGAATTACAACAGCTTCGCTCTACTGTGGAACCAGAGCTCAAACATAACCCCGGGCAGAAGGCTCTAGAGAAAGGAATAAGCCATTGCTATAAAAAGAAACTAGCAAACTCTAAGATCTTAGATTGGCCATCTGAGATTGTCAGGAGGTATGGTCGCAGCAAACAGCATTTTAAATTTTACCCACTAACGAGAAATGAGCCATAGAAGTTTTTTTTTATATTTGAGGTGGACGGCCAGGCGCTCCTAAGGGCGGTGCAATACCTGCCGACCGACGCGTCTAGTCCGACCCATGGCGGAGGTGCAATGCCTTAGGGTTGGGTCCACCACAAGCTGAGGGTCACCAGACACCAACTTCGTTGAGGAATTGAACTCACTCACACATAAAAGGATAATAATAAAATACTGATAATTATAGCCCCTAGCCAGCCAAGGGGTGGCTCACGAAAAAAACAAAACAATAATTATAGCCCCTAGCCAGCCAAGGGGTGGCACGCAAACAAAAAACAAAACAATAATCATAATCAGACATTGAACGGGAGGCTACAAAACAGAACGGTACAGGGGCCCCTGTGCAGTACACCACTAAAGGAGACCTAGCACAAGGGGCTACAAGGCGGACACAACAAAAACACACTCACTCAGAGGTGGAGGACAGTTGGGATGGGAACAGTTAGATTGAGAACACTGGAGAGCTTTTAACAACGGAAGAAACGACACCACGGGCGCCCCACTGTCGGTGGAAGAAGCGCCGGCGTCTGTCTGACTTGAAGCGCTTGAACAGTATGGGAAGGTGGAACTTCAAGCGAGACAGGATGTTAGCCATCACCGCCATAGCGTCAGGACGGGTGTTGCGGAAACGACAGTCGTTCCGGGATTTCCAGATGCAGAACTTTGAGAGGTTAAGCAGGTAGACAAAGATACGAGGAGTGGCAATCAGCTCGTCCGAGCTGCTGCCGAAAAGGACTTGACGGAGTGACAGGACAGGAGACATCGTGGAGAAGACAAACATAAGAGACTGGAGCCAGGACAGAATGCTTTGAGCAAGAGGACAATAGAAGAAAAGGTGCTCCTGTGTTTCCACCAGGGCACCGCAGAAGCAAGGAAGAGGGACTGGCGATCCAAAGGAGACCAGACGCTGGGCGGTGTACAGAACGCCGTCCGCAATCTTCCAGTTAAGGTCGATTATCGAGCGGTCTATGCTGAAGAAGGACAGGGAGCGCCACGTGGCAGACCAATCAAAAGAGGGAAAAGTAGCGTTAAATTTATCCACACAATGCGGTTGAAACATGTTCTCAGAGAGCAAATACAGATAGCAAGACTTTGTGGACATGCCCGAGGCAGGGCTGCAGACGTGCCCACAAGAAGAAACAAATACAAGACAATTCTTGACCACGGAAAAAGAACCGTTAAGGCCACGCCAAGCTAGCAAAAGAGAACTGTGAAATGACGACAAGACCCTGGGGTCAAAAGAGAAGGGACGGGAAAAAACAACTAAAGGAGAAACTGACAAAAGAGAGAATGACACCAGAAACACAACGTAATACACCAGTCAGAGGGGGAGGAGACAAATCTCCTCACCTACTGACAAAGGAGAGCCCACACCTTATAACGGACATCGTG